GACCATACAAAGATTTCGTCAACTTGCAAACCACGTTCCCTTTGTCTATTTCTACAAAGCCTTCTGGTTGGAGAATGCATAAATCTTTTCTTCAAGTTTTCCATGAAGAAAAGCAACACTCACATCTAGCTGCTTTATATGTAAGTCAAACATAGCACACGTCGTTGGGATTACCCTGATGCTGTGAGTAAAACAGCAGGTGAAATATTTAGTTAAAGTAAATACCTTATTTGTGAGCACATCCTTTTACCACCTATCTTGTACGATATGATTCCACTTGGTTATTGCTATCCTGCTTGATCTTCTAGACCCGTTTGTTGTCAATGGTCATCTTTTATTGTGGTAACGGAAGAAGATTCCATGTCTTATTTTTGTGGAAGGCTTCAATCTCCTTTGCATTGCTTCAATCTCTTACATTATTGCCATCCACGAGGATACATCTGGGCTTTTGGTAGCGTTATGGAAAGTTGATGTCCCTATCCTCTAGTAAAAGACAACATTTAACATTATTTTCAACTAATTACATATTCTAAATGCGAAGTTGGTGGTTCTCGATCTTCATGCTCTGATCATTCCCAAAAGAAACCGAATCTTCATAATACGACTTATCTTTTACCTGAGCTATAGTAGTATTTTTCTCATTTGAAGTAGTATTGCCTCCCTTCTCTTACAGTTTGTCCTTTGTAAATGTCACATCTCTAGTGATAACAACCTATCTTATGGTAGTATGATCCTATGACTTTATCAGCATACCATAAAAAAGACGCACGTTCTAGATTTTGGATCTACCTTTGATCTTCGTGGTTGTTGTATTTGACGAACACATGGCTTCCAATCGTATGGAAGTGAGAATAATTGGGTGGCTTCTAAGTACACATCTCTATTGGTGAAGCCATCTTTGGTTAAAATTAGTTTAGGAAAGGAAAAAGAAATAATAGCTAAAATTAACTTGACTATTTTTCAGGAATCAAACTGTCACGCCCCCCAAGCGGGGTGGGTGATGTGGAGCTCGATTAGGGATTAATAAAGCAGATTCCCAGACCGGACCCCACACTTAACTGCATTAAAATATAAATAAACTACTATAGAAACCAGGAGCCTCTGACACACAGCGCTTCACCCCACAGGGCATACAGTATCGTACATACATGCTCATGTAAATAATCATTACAACAGACATCAACCACAGTCTAGTTAATCCAAATATTACATAAGTTTACAGAATTTCTCAAATTCCTTACATTTGTCCAAGAGGATGTCCACGATCCTCACTTGATTCCAACAGCAGCACAACTCAGCTGCTCCGTAGCAATTATCCAGCTACTGTGCACCGCTCCTAGAGTCTCCTGGAAGGGGTTTAATACATTTGAAATATAAAACGTGAGCGAAAGGCCCAGTAGGATATAATTTGAAATAAACGTTATAATAAGTGTGCGTGGGAATACATAAATGAATAAGTAAATAAAATAAGACATTCAGTCCCGACCGAATAGCCGGAACCTCACATCCTTTTTCTCAAAGGAAAAGTAACTGTAAATAACCGTTTTACAGGCTTCAGCAAGTAATTAGTACAAATTACTTACCTAACCAAGTGCCTCGCCTACCCGGACCGAGTTTCGGGTTCTGCCCCCGAGGATGCACTCTCTGCATCCTATCTAGGCTTACAGCAATAGACTCTATTACCAGTTCACAAGATCTCTTTGCTTAAGAAATCATTCATTAACATTTTGAAATCGTTAATACGACCCCACGAACTACTCAAGCCGCGGGCCCCATGACTGAAAAAAAGATAGAAATCCTACCTCGCACTATCAAACCTGGGACTAGCGTTGCCTTTTTCGGCTTCCGCTTCCTCAAGCCCCTTCAGTCTGAATCCTCAATGATCACTGATGCAAGATAACACTTTAGGATCAATTCTCATTCCTAAAGTAATACAAATCTCAATTCCCAACAAAGATTTCCTATTAGTGTGCCCTAATCCATTTTCATGTTTCAAATTATCATTCCAAGGGTTTTCAATCCCAAATCAAGGATTAAAGATGATAATCCATTCATCTCAAGTCCCCAAATGAAGTTAATTTGGGTTCTCCCCGAAAACATGGGTCAAAACAGCAATTTCAGGCCAAACAGGGTCAAACCCAGTGTCAACCGGTCGACCGGTGATAGAGTGCAACACTACCGGTCGACTGGTAATGTGCACACCGGTCGACCGGACAGGTCGACCGGTCGGCCTGCAATCCGGTCAACCGCATAGGTCGACCGGTTTCCATGTGATTCGGTCGATCGCACAGGTCGACCGGTGAAATCAGCTGTGCGAGAGAAGCTCACGGAAATCAGTCCAAAACCTGTAAATCCAGTCCCAAATCGAAATATTTCAAAGGAAAACTACTAGATCTGGGTTCTAGGTCCTAAAACAAGTCCAAAGAACCAAAGATCTCCAATTTCTACTCTAGTTTTGCTCAAAAACCATCAAAATCCAATTTGAACCAAAAATGAGTTTTGAAATTCAAAAACTTGAGATTCAAGAGAGGTTCTTTCAGTAGTCTTACCTTGAATCCTTCTCTTGACGTTGAAAACTTCTTTAAATCTTTTCTTGGTTCAAGATCCGTTTGATTTGGGACACAAATGAGAGAGAGAAAGAGAGAGAGACGGAGAGAGTAAGCGGGAGAGTGAGAGTGAAGGAAAGAGAGATAGTGCACAGGAAAGGAAGGAGAAAGGAAAGAAAAAAAAAGGAAAAAGGAAAAGAAAAGAAAAGGAAAAGGAAAAGGAAATGACATGTGTCAATATTTTAAAAGAGCAGTCCAGAAATGCGCCCATACACACTTCTGGTTTAAAATAAATTATTAAGAATAATTTAAAGACCTTGGAACTATTTAAACTCACACGTGTCAGAAACATTTATTAATTAAACTCAATTAATAATCCAGATTAAGCACATTAATAATCTCAATTACCTTAATTAATCTCAATTAATTCTTCAGGGTGTTACAGCTCCACTCCCCTTAGGCAATTTCGTCCCCGAAATTAAAGCCTACCTCACAGTGTGAACAGAGGCGGATACTGTTCCTGCATCGTCGTTTCAAGCTCCCATGTTGCTTCCTCAACTCCATGGTGCTGCCATAGTACTTTCACTAGGGGAATCTCACGATGACGCAGACTCTTTATCTTCCGGTCAAGAATCTGAACTGGTGCATCCTCGTACGACGCGTCATACTGTATCGGAACGTCAAACCATTGCACTACTGTTTCCGGCTCAGGTTGACATTTCCGAAGCATGGAGACATGCAACACGTCATGCACGTGAGATAATTCAGGCGGTAAGGCCAACCAATAAGCCACTACTCCGATTCATTGCACGGTCGAGAATGGTCCCACATACCTTGGTGCAAGTTTCCCTTTCACACCAAACCGAACGACTCCCTTGCGTGGGGAAACCTTTAGCAAGACAAAGTCGCCCTCTTGGAATTCCAAAGGCCTGCGCCTTCTATCAGCATAACTTTTCTGACGACTTTGAGCTGTCAATAGTTGTTCCCGAATCACAGCTATCTTCTCATTATTCTCTTGAATGACTTCCAGTCCAGTGCTCAGTCGATTCTCTGGTTTCAACCAACACACAGGTGACCTATAAGGACGACCATACAGAGCATCAAATGGTGTCATTCCAATACTGGCCTGATAGCTGTTGTTATAAGCAAACTCAGCTAGGTGCAGGTATTTCTTCCAGTTCCCGCCAAATTCCAGAATACAAGCACGAAGTATATCCTCTAGAATCTGAATTACCCTTTCAGATTGCCCATCAGTCTGAGGGTGAAATGCTGTACTGAAGTTCAAGTCTGTTCCCATAGCTTCCTGGAAACTCCTCTAATACCTTGCATTGAAGCGGGTATCACGATCGGACGTGATTGACAGTGGCACTCCGTGTAGTCTCACGATGTGCTCCAGGTACAATTCTGACAGAATCTTCCGAGAATACGTCGCACGAAACTGTATGAAGTGCGCGGACTTCGTCAACCTGTCCACCACCACCCAGATGGCATCGTGCTTCAGCTCGGTTCTCGGTAGCCCCATCAGAAAGTCCATAGTGATGTGCTCCCATTTCCATCCCGGGACAGGAAGAGGTTGCAACTCTCCCGCTGGCTTCCGATGCTCAGCTTTAATCCGGAGGCAAGTCACACATTCTGAGACATACTCACGAATGTCCCTTTTCATGCCTCTCTACCAGTACTGTCTTTTCAGGTCTTGGTACATCTTTGTACTTCTCGGATGTATAACATACCTCGATTTGTGTGCCTCTTGTAGAATCATCTTCTTTACCTCACCCACCTTGGGAATAGCAAGGCGGTTGCGGAAATACAAGGCTCCATCCTCTCGGATTCTCCAATCCTCGAATTGCTCTCCATTCTGGATCTGAATCCAAATTCCTTGGAGGTGTGGATCCTGCCATTGATTCTGCTTAACTTGTTGCACAATATCCGGCGTAGAGATCAGGCTGTACACCATAGCCTGGTTACGATCTTCGTAGAACTGAAGATCATACTCACTCACCACTTCAGTCCTTTTCCAATCTTCCAAAGCTAATGATGGCAGAGTCCCCGTCGTCTTCCTACTAAGGGCATCAGCCACCACATTAGCTTTTCCCGGATGATATTACAGAGTGAAGTCATAATCTTCCATATACTCCACCCATTTCCTTTGCCTGAGATTCAAGTCTTTCTGAGTAAACAAGTACTTCAGACTTTTATGGTCAGAAAAGACCTGAAACTTTGCTCCATAGGGATAACATCTCCATATCTTCAGAGCAAATATTACCGCTGCCAGCTCCAAATCATGAGTGGGGTAATTCCGTTCATGTGGTCTTAATTGACGAGATACGTACGCTACCACGCGTCCATCTTGCATTAAGACACAGCCAAGCCCACTTCTCGAGGTGTCAGAATACACCTCATATGGTTCTTCACTATTAGGAATAGTCAAGACTGGTGTTCTTGTCAGTCTGACCTTCAATTCCTGAAAAGCATTTTCACACTCAGCATCCCACTGAAATCTCACTTCTTTCTTGGTCAACCGAGTCATTGGTGCAGCAATACTCGAGAAGTCTTTCATGAAACGCCGATAGTACCCTGTAAGTCTGAGGAAACTGCGAATCTCCACTACATTCTTCGGCTTTTCCCACTGTAGCACAGTCTCGATCTTGGAAGAATCGACAGAAATCCCTTGTCCTGAGATCACATGCCCAAGGAACTTCACTTCTGTCAGCCAGAAGTCACACTTCTCCTTCTTAGCATACAATTGGTGTTCTCGAAGAGTCTGAAGAACAATTCTCAAGTGATGCTCATGTTCTTCCCAGGTCTTCCAGTAAACCAGTATGTCGTCAATGAAGACGACCCAAGTATGGCCAGAAAACACGGTTCATTAGATCCATGAATGTAGCCGGGGCATTAGTCAACCCAAACGGCATTACCAGGAACTCGAAGTGCCTATACCGAGTTTTAAATGCAGTCTTCGGAATGTCTTCCTCCTTGATTTTCAGCTGATGGTACCCATATCTCAAATCAATCTTAGAGTAGAACTGTGATCCACCCAACTGATCAAATAATTCATCGATCCTTGGCAGTGGGTATTTGTTCTTCACAGTTACCCTATTCAATTGACGGTAGTCAATACACAACCGAAGAGATCCGTTGTGCTTCTTCACAAATAGCACCGGTGCACCCCAAGGGGAAGTACTATTCTGGATATACCCCTTTTTTGCCAACTCTTCAAGCTGCGTTCTTAATTCTTTCATCTCCGCCAGAGCCATCCGGTATGGAGGAATGGAAATAGGTGCCGTTCCCGGAATTAAATCAATATAGAATTCAATTTCCCGATCTGGCGGTAAACCAGGTAGCTCATCAGGAAATATATCTGCAAACTCATCCACTACAGGGATTCCCGCACTATCTCCAATTACTTCAAGTTTACCTTCCAAAGCAAGGAGGGAAGAGAAACAGGCTAGATTCCTCCGTCCCCTAACACTGTACTTCAACAGTCGTTCTCCTAATACTGGATTCAGATCTGCCTGATAAGAAATCGATGTTCCAGACTTCGTCATCAGAGTCACTCTCCTACGGTAACAATCTACAATTACTCCGTATTCTGACAACCAATCCATTCCGAGGACCACATCAAACAGGTTCATCGGAAGGATAATCAAGTCTACTCTCATTCGCTCACCGCCAATCGCGATCTCACATGATCTACACACACTCATTTCCTCCACGCATCCCAGTGGAGAGTTCAAAGTCATCGGGATTCTAAATTCTCAGGTTTTAGTTTCAAAGCCCGAACAAAAGAACTTGATATAAATGAGTGTGTGGCACCTGTGTCAAACAACACGTGAGCAAAAGAATGAGAGATAAGAATCATACCTTCAACCACCGCGTTGCTGGTCTGACCTCCAGAACTGCCTCCTGCCAGGGCATAAGCTTGTCGCTGTACTTTCCCTTTCCCTCTGTCACCAACATTAGGCCGTTGGGTCGGAGGCCTATACTGTTGCGGCGGAGGTGGTTGTACCGGTCTCGACGCGTGAGGCCGGAATTGTGTAAGCAGAGGTGGGTGATATGTCGGCACAAGAGGGTATTGCATCTGTTGTGGCTGATATGGTGGCATGTACGGTGGTGGCCCTTCTTGACTATATGAAGCATCACTTTGGGCTTGTTGAGCCGGCGGCCGATTAGGACAATTCTTCCTAATATGGCCCACCTGCCCACAATGGTGACACCTGGGCCCGTACGGAGCATTTCTGTCACTTCCGGACGAACTACTGCCACCGCTTGCCATCTCCTCAACCGTTTGTCATTGGTTGCGGTTTCTCCTACCACTCCACTGTGGTCCACCTGAAACGGAAGGTTTACCAGAGACAGAGACTCGACCAGTTGCCTCTTTACTTTGGTGATAGGCTAAGTTACCCTGTTCCACCCTGTAGCAGCAGCTACCAAATCCCGGAAGTTCTGAATCCTTAAGGCCACCAATGACCTCCTCACAGAATTCTTGAGGCCCTTCTCAAACTTAAGACAACTCATGGGTTCAGACTCCACTAGTGATGGCGCAAACCGGGATAGATCATTAAACTTGGACTCATATTCCCTTATAGACATGTCTCCTTGCAGTAGAGACATAAATTCCAGCGCTTTTTCTTCCCTGTAACTCTGGGGGAAGTACTGTTCATTGAACAACGTCTCAAACTGTTCCCAGGTCAACCCTGTGACATCTATTATCCTCTTGACCTGTTTCCACCAAGTGTTTGCTAATCCCACCATCTTATACACAGCAAATTCCACCCAGTATTCATCTGGGACTCCTATTGTACTCAAGTGCTTGACTATGTAGTCTAACCATAACTCTGCTTCCTGGGGTCCTCCCTCACTATTAAACGAGGGGATATGTGCACGCCTAAATTCTCAGAAGTACCCTTGCTTCTTATCCTCAACCGGCCGCTCGTTTCGAGCTCTTGTGGCCATGCCTTGAAAGGCAGCATACATGGCATCCAGAAATCCTTGATTCTGTTGTGCCGGTTGATTAGCAGGCCTACGGCGAGGCGCCATTTCCTTTAACTGAAATAAAACTAGACTATTCAGTGGATCACAGATGTCACACATGTATGTACAATCCTGGGGTTTCTTAACCTAGGGCTCTGATACCACTTCTGTCATGCCCCCAAAGCGGGGTGGGTGACGTGGAGCTCAATTAGGGATTAATAAAGCAGATTTCCAGACCGGGCCCCACACTTAACTGCATTAAAATATAAATAAACTACTATAGAAACCAGGAGCCTCTGACACACAGGGCTCCACCCCACAGGACATACAGTATCGTACAAACATGTTCATGTAAATAATCATTACAACAGACATCAACCGCAGTCTAGTTAATCCGAATATTACATAAGTTTACGAATTTCCCAAATTCCTTACATTTGTCCAAGAGGATGTCCACGATCCTCACTTGATTCCAACAGCAGCACAACTCAGCTACTCCGTAGCAATTATCCAGCTACTGTGCACTACTCCTAGAGTCTCCTGGGAGGGGTTTAATACATTTGAAATATAAAACGTGAGCGAAAGACCCAGTAGGATATAATTTGAAATAAACGTTATAATAAGTGTGCGTGGGAATACATATAAGAAATAAGTAAATAAAATAAGACATTCAGTCCCGACAGAACAGCCGGAACCTCACAACCTTTTTCTCAAAGGAAAAGTAACTGTAAATAACCGTTTTACAGGCTTCAGCAAGTAATTAGTACAAATTACTTACCTAACCAAGTGCCTCGCCTACCCGGACCGAGTTTCGGGTTCTGCCCCCGAGGATGCACTCTCCGTATCCTATCTAGGCTTACAGCAATAGACTCTATTACCAGTTCACAAGATCTCTTTGCTTAAGAAATCATTCATTAACATTTTAAAATCGTTAATACGACCCCACGAACTACTCAAGCCGCGGGCCCCATGACTGGACAAGCCATGAGGTTCCATGACTAAACAAGTCATGGTTTTCAAAGCGTTTTCTTTTACAAATCAATCCCTTTCTTTAAAACATTTTCAATGCCAAAATCTTTTTTTTTGAAAACAGGCTCACAAGGAAAAAGGGATAGAAATCCTACCTCGCACTATCAAACCTGGGACTAGCGTTGCCTTTTTCGGCTTCTGCTTCCTCAAGCCCCTTCAGTCTGAATCCTCAGCGATCACTGATGCAAGACAACACTTTAGGATCAATTCTCATTCCTAAAGTAATACAAATCTCAATTCCCAACAAAGATTTCCTATTAGTGTGCCCTAATCCATTTTCATGTTTTAAATTATCTTTCCAACGGTTTTCAATCCCAAATCAAGGATTAAAGATGCTAATCCATTCATCTCAAGTCCCCAAATGAAGCTAATTTGGGTTCTCCCCGAAAATAGGGGTCAAAACAGCAATTTCATGCCAAACAGGGTCAAACCCTGTAATGACTGAGAAAATTTCAGACCTTAAATAATACAATTCATGTATGTAGAATTAATTAAGTTGCTATTTTTCTTACGCCGTCCATTAGAATATGCCTTATATCTTCTTTTTGGCTAATATATTATTCGGAATATTTTGAGTTGACTGTGTCAAATGCAACTTGCATATGTACGTATTCATGAGGAATCATGATGAGCAGACGAATCTCGTTACAGAAAGAAAACGACACGAATAGTGGTGATCAAGATGAAGAGTTAAGGCTCGATGACCTTTCCACAATAATATTCTTTTTAAATTTCTAAAACGACGTGTGACTGATATATGACTTGTACTTGACATGTTGGAAAGACTAAAAAGCATGAAAAAACAAAAAAATATTAGACATAGGAAAAGGATCTATCTGATTAACATATTTAAGGTTGTAAATACATAGTTGTGTACTCATATATTGATCACAAGATAGTACGTACTTCATATTAGTTTATTAATCTAATTTAATTTTTTATTAATGTATGACTTAAGGGGTTTTTTTTTTTGGGTTGAAATACGAAATATATATATATATATATATTTATATATTGGTGGGAAACATGGAGGCAAACGAAATAGATGATGAGTAGTGACCTTTTACTAGTTGTGGTTTATTACTCTAGTGGTTGTTTGCAAGGATAGGGAACTGAATTGAATAGGGCACTTCTCTAACTATGGGGATATTGTGAGTGGAGAACTCAATAAACCAAGTAAAGGGGAGGGGGAAAAAAAGTAAAAGTAAACCTTTTACTTTCACGTAAACTTAAATACCAATCTATAAGACAGAATATAACTTGTAAGTTTTTAATAAATGTACATTTAATTTGGTTTTGAATTCAATCCGTATGAGTAAATGGAATCACCTAAAACAGTCATATATATACTTATATATCAAGCATGGTACAGTTTTAACTAATTATTATAATATGGCAAGAGATATTATAACTACTTTAATTGAAAAGTTACAATTTGTACCATCAAAGTGGGTATGACGAATCCCATTTCTTTCACAAAACTCTATATGTTACTTTTGAAGTCACTTTCTTCTTTACGATATATCTATAACTTCTTCAATCAAGCAACTTAGAGCTTTCCCGAATCAAGCAACTTAGTGTTCTAAGTAGTTAATTTTCTTTTAAAAGCAAAATTTCAGAAAATAAAATTAAGGAGAATATATAGCTTTGAATTTGAAGCTTTAATAAGAATACGTAAAACGCGGTTTTGCTTCTATGTGCACGATCAAACGGCCACAGCTATTTCAAAATGATCACGTGAATTTATAGGAATTAAGTAAATTTCAAAGACCAAAGATTGCACAAACCACGTGTTTTCCAACAACGATATATAGTAAAAATATATATGTTTTTTTTTTTTTTCTTTTTTGACAGCCTGCCTCAATTTGGCCCGTTTAAATTTAGCTCAAGCGTGCCTCGTGTCGTGTTTGAGCTGGTCCATTTATTTACCGTGTCAATACTAGGCCTGGCCCATTTAATTTTTATGCCATCAATCCCGGCCCACGGCCCATGTATATGTAGGCTGTGCCCTTAACGTGCTTGGGTCGTGCTTGTGTTATTATTCTGCTCTTAACGTGCTTTGATCGTGTCAAATAGCATATTTGCAACAAATACAAAGAAATAAACTTTTAACATAATGAAAACATTAAATTCTTAACCAAAAAAAAAACATATCATTAATTAAAAAATGTGCCTTAATTATTATTAATGTAATCATTATTTTTACTTTTATTAAAACTTCTTAATAAAACAAATATTTTTATGACATATATTAATAAAATTACTTTTATACTTCATCTTCATTAATTGGGTCTTTATCATGCTTTTAATGTTCTTGTGTCTGTGTTCGTGCTCGTACTTGTGTGGTGAATGCTGTGCCCTTAACGTGTTTCTTGCCAAAAAGTTGCGTCAAGCCAAGTCAATTTAATAAACGGGATAGGCCAGGCCCATTTAATAATCGTGTCGTGTCATGTCGTGCCCACTTTTTAACGTACTGTGCTCATGCGAACCGTCAAGTCTAACCTATTTTGGCATCTCTACTTGTATATATTGGTCGCTATTCAAAATATTGTTCCTACCTATATTATATGTTATTAATTGGTTTCTCTGTTTTGCACAAAAAATAAAAGGAATACTGTGGTAGATTAAATGTTGTGTGTCTATTTTCATGGCCCGAATTCTATTTAAGTGTACGTTTCAATATTTCTTTTTAATATCATTAATTATTCTCATTCTATATCTCAACTTTCCTACAAATATTATCAACTATAGCTAGTACTCTTGTCAACATGAAACTGACTAAACCAGGTGACCAACAAGCAACATCGAAATATACACAAAAAATCAAAAATCAAAATCATCGGATTCGAAATATTATAAATACAATTAAGTTTTTTGTTTAAGTTAGGACCATTCATTTGTGGAATGCTAAGTCCATTTGGATCAACACAAAGGCAACATATGAGTCGTCATAAGCACATAACAACAATTACATGCATTTCATGTTTGGTCTATTTTTGAAGTAATCTACTTTGGAATTAAGTCATTTCGTATTTCCTGCATGAAAAAAACATGAAGAAGAAAAATCCCACAATTACACGTATTTTCTTAATGGCCAAGATGAGGTCTATTTCAAAAGTAATTTGCACTAGAATAAATCTATTCTTATTTATTAAAAAGATTCCAAATATTAACAAATATATTTAGATATATAGTATATAAAAATACAATGAGACTTCTATCATTAATGGACATTGTAGGGTCCTTTCATGTACTTACATGTCCTGCTTATAGCCGTGGATGAATATATAGAGAGAGAAAGACACTGAGGTTTTTTATATTTTAATCGTACCGCATATTTTGAGTTTATTAAAAAATTATACCAATGTATTTCGGATCGTTGCATATATAAATCCTTAAACTGTAATTTATCCTCAAATCCATATATTCTCACAATCAACGGTCAAATTGATCGAGAAAATGACTTTTAATTCTTACAATTCCGTAGTTGTAGACATAATTTAACGGTAATATCACACTTGACTCTGCCATAAAGGGTAGAATTCGAATTCTTCTACTTCTAAGTTGAAAAAAAAAAAAAAAAAAAAAAAAAAAAAAAACCAAAAAAAAAAAAAAAAAAAAAAACCACACCACCCTTGAAACACTATATATATATATATATATATCAATACTCTATTGTTCTAAAATTTGGCCCCGTTTATTTCACCGATTTGAATCAGTCAAAACTAACTTTTTTACTACGGTAAAAAATTCTCACATATAGTCACATCTTAACTCGAATCAGCGAACTGAAGAGCCCAGACATTGCATTAGAGCTCCGCTACCCAAACGAATAATGGGTGCCATCCAGCTAGGCGCTAATTCCACAAGTCCTCAAATGCGTTCACACAAAATGGACTCCAAACTCTTGCATGTAAGTACAAACGTTAATGTCAATCTGACTTTCTAAACATAATTTTTCTTTGCTTAAGTCAATTTTCCATGGAAAAGTAACAGTGTAGCATGCAAATTTAAAAGGCGATGAAAGATTATTCTAC